TATATATATATAAGTCACACATTGTTTATGAATATAAAGGAAAAATAAATAATAGCATTTGCAAAACTTATATATAGTGCCACCTATATTATGCTTTATTCAATATTTCAGATATCTGTAGGGCCTATTTGTATATTGTTTTGTTCTTTTTTTTTTCATATTATTAATATATTAATTTCAATTTATTTCCGATCAGTTTATCTCCGGGCAAGCCCTGAAGTCTGTTCTAAAAGAATCCAGAAACGAAACAGATCAGAAGAAGCTGGTGTTCCCATGGTAGGTAATTCTTGTCTCTGGTGTTGCACTGACTTACAAGTGGATGGTTGGCGGTTGCTCTGGTGTGGTTTGCTCCTTCTTTCCTATGAAACATCTATCGTCCTTATTTCCCCTTCTTTTTTTATTTGTTACTCTCTTGTAACACTCCTAATCTTCTGTCACTCATATGAACCTATGCAGTTGCGAGAGCCGTAAAACCTCTACTAAAACAAACATTTCCTATCAAACACCTACTGTCCTTATCTCCCCTCCTTCTTTTTTATGTTTGTTACTTTCTTGTAACACTTCTAATCTTTGTCATTTATATGACCTAATTGTGTTTCAAGTTCCATAAAATGCTAACTAAAACTAAAACGATCACAAGAGATTTCTATTCTTCCTCTTCCGCAGGAATACTTGGAGAGTCTCCACCGACTGCACGATGAGTGGTTACTGCACGGCAAGAGGGGGAAGCTTCCAGCTCCTGTTCTGGTAACGTCTTCTTCTTCCCAGTGATTCTACTCTAGCTTTGTGGGTGGTCAGCGGGTGTTCTGGTGTGGTTTGCTCCTTCTTTCCTGTCAAACATCAACTGACTGTCTCTCTTTGTCTTTGTATACTACTCTCTAGTAGTAATAGTAACACCTCTAATCTTCAGCACTTATAGTGATGAACAGATTGTGGGTCAAAGTTGTTTCCGACATTCTGTATATATATGTTACAGTAAGAACGCGTACCTAGTGAATACGCGTAATTACTGAATATTCCAGTGAAAACGCGTAATCCCTGTTTCACTCGGAGATTTCACGTAATCACTGAAATAATCAGGAATTACGTGAATTCCCTGAAAAAAGGCCCCTGTAATTACGCGTAATCCCTGATCAGACATGTGTAGTATAATGTTATACTTTTGTAAAATTTTATTCCTTTAATAGTTCAGTAACAGGTACTCTCTCTCTCTCTATCTCTCTCTTTTTCTCTCTCTATCCCTCTCTCTCTCTATCTCTCTCTCTCTTTCACACACACACACACACACACACAC